TAACAACTATATGTGCCACTTTTGCAACTATCATTCCTTACAAAACAGATTTGTATATAAAATTATGGATTCATAGCTTAAATATTATATTCACAGTTTAATAAACCAATTAATTTACTAATTAAAAGTTTAATGCAATATAATTATAAAAACTATTATATTCTTACATATTTATACAACACAAAAAATTAATACACACATTCATACATAAATCAATCATATTTTAACACAAAATTTATTAAAAATCCACAGCTTAATAGAAATAATTCATAATTTAGTACACGAAATTCATAGCTTGATATAAAAAATTTCACAGTTTAATGCATAAAAGTTATACATTCAAAACCATATTCTCAACTTAAAACTTACGTATGTAACTTTAGATTTATAGACTAGTGTTTCTTTTAAGGTTTATCTACACAAATATTCACGATTAAAATTTTACATACTTTATTTAAAATTAGATTAAATCATATATATGTATAATGCTACTTGCATCTCATTTTTCAAAAACAAACAAGGAATTAATGAAAATTGACCACTTAATATCCAATTCACAGCATAATGACCATCAATTCACGGCAGTCAGATATCTGTCGATCAGCTTTTCAGCATTCAGCCTTACGAGGTGAGTTACCTTCCAGTAGAAGTGGGTCTAAGACACCAATACCAGCCCATCAGTAGGAGTCATATGTTAGATGATTGTCTTTGTGATATTCATTTAGGTTTGCTACTACCTGATATGTTATGTGCTAGTGTGATACGATGTTATATGCTAGTAGCAGTAAGGGAGATAGTCCCCAAGATTTCCGGTCGACAGGGCCGAAAGGGGGTAGTCATACCCACTCAAGCTAGATAAAATATGATTGTTTTACATGTTACGTGCTAGTAGTAGAGGGGTGAGATAGTCCCGAGTATCCGGTCGAGAGGGCCGAAGGGGAGGCTAGCACCCAGGTATGCTAGGCAGTATCCGATCGAGAGGGCCGAAGGGGAGGCTAGCACCCAGGTATGCTAGGCAGTATCCGGTCGAGATGACCGAAGTGGTAGGTCGGGTACCAGGATATGCCGGGCAGTATATGTATGTTATGTGATTGTATGTTATGCGGTCCGATGGGGGAACTCACTAAGCTTCGCGCTTACAGTTTTCAGTTTTGTTTTAGGTACCTCTTCAGAGAAGGGGAAGGAGCCGGCGCGATAGCTGCACATCATATACACACACGTTGGATTTCCGCATTACAAGATTCTTGGGATTATACTCTGACGTTGTTATATTTATGGTTTGGTTTTCAGACATGAGATACTAGTTTTATGAAATGATATGTTTTCACTATGTTTTCTTATGCAAGTTTTATAAATCAATTAATTTAAAATGAAAATTTCAGACTCGAAATTTGGGATGTTACATGGTGGTATGTTGAGTATGAGTTAGTTATGCATGCGAATGTTATACTAGTTTGGTAGATCTGTAGGACTACATGTGTTACTATCTGATTACTTGTATGTGCATCAGTTATGTTATATGTCGACATATTATGTGGGTTGGGTTGAGGTTGTATTGCTCCATGCGGTAGCCAACAAACGCTGGAGTATTCCAGATATGAGCTATGGGCTGGGCAGGGCATGCCAAACTCATACTGAGGACTCGAGAGCATTCTAGATACGAGCTGAGGGTCAGGTGGGGCATACCAGACTCGTAATATGGGCTCAGGAGCATTCCATATACAAGTTGAGGGCCAGGTAGGGCATACCAGACTCGTATTGTGGGCTCGGTGGCAATCTAGATGTGAGTTGTGGGCCCGGAAGGCAATCTAGACTAACACTGTGGGCCTAGGGGTAATCCAGTCTGTAAAGTTGTGGACCCAGTACATGTTGTTATTTGTATATGTGTTAGTTGCAGTGTATCGGTATTTTGGGGGAACTCACTAAGCTGTGGGCTTACAATTTCAGTTTTTATTTCAGGTACATTAGATGATCGAAGGAAGGCAAATGCATGATCGTACAACTCCTCACATTTATGACTTTGTTTCTGGGATACTCTGATATTTACTATTTTGAAAAAAAAGTTTTATAATGATTAATGGGTTTGAAATGTTTTTAAAAGTTTAAATTTGGCATAATTTTAATGGGTGTTACATGAACTATCCTAATTTATCGTATACACTGATGCCAATTAGGTGGGTGCCTGAATACCTGTTGTAACATCCCGAAATATCAAGAGTAGAGTTGAAGGGCTAAAAGAGTAAATTGGGAAGAGTGACTCGGCGAGTCCATGTGCGGACTCGGCGAGTAGAGTCGCGACTTGGTTGCGTGTTAAGTGGCCGACTCGGCGAGTCAGTGTAATGGACTCAGCGAGTAGGCGCTGAGTGGAGAAAACCCTAATTCTCGGGGTTGAGCCTTATATAAAGATCACTATGTTTTCATCCCAGCCTCTTTATCACCCCTTGAGCCCCAGAAAACCCTAAATCACGGAGAAGCACCATTGTTGAGTGGATTGGAGCTTGGAGAAGTAATGGTTGAAGAAATTTTGGGAAGATTGAAGGCTTGGAGCAAGGGGCTTTGCTTGGATTCGAATTTCATTGCAGTTGGGGCATCACTTAGAGGTAATATCTCGTTATTGACCTGTTGTTATGTTGTTTCTTCATTTTGGGGTTTGTGAGAAATTGTCTATGGATGAAATGGGAAGTCTAGAGGTTAGATCTGAGGTTGCTACCTCAGATTGGAAGGGAGAAGAATCAGAGAGCATGAAAGTCCCTGTGTTGGAGTGTTTAGTGAAGCTTACATGTCCCAAACCCTAGCCCAATGTGCAAACGGCTTAGATCTCTTTGGATTCACGTAAAGTTTGCCACTTTACGTGATGGATGAGTGGTAGGAGACTAGATCTATGTTTTGGATCAATTGCATGGCCTGAGACGCTTCTGTATGGATTCAGACCGGTGGTACTCGACGAGTCACATGGGGCGACTCGACGAGTTGCTTGAAGATGGCCTGGAACTCGACGAGTTGGAAGAACAACTCGGCGAGTAGGTTGAAGATAGCCTTGGACTCGACGAGTCCATTTGGACTCGGCGAGTCTTGTCGAAGAGTCCCAAATATTCTCTGGTTGAGTCGAGAATCGGTGAGTCGAGGGATGACTCGGTGAGTCGTGTGCGAGTGGACTCAGAGTTGTTGGACTCGGCGAGTCTCGGGGTGACTCGGCGAGTTAGGTCGCAGATTGAGTGAAGTTCTGATTATGGGAACTCGACGAGTCACAGGGTTGACTCGGCGAGTAGGGTCAGTCAGGGGTTGACTTAGACTGAGGACTTTGATTTCGACCAAGGGTTGGCCGTTAACTTTTAGGGTTTGGTCAGCGATGTGGCCTTTGGGCCAAGAGAAAGGTAAAATAGTCTTTTACCCATAAGAGGGTGTTATGAGAGGATTTATTCTAGTCTCGAGAGTTATATTCATGAGAGTATTTGCCTTACGTGTTAGACGGTGGCGAGTTCGAGATTCAAGTGTGGGGATATCTGCTTTCTGCTTGCCAGGTGAGTCTTCTCACTATACTTTACCTTGAGTAGGTAACCAGAGTTATGTGATCAGAGTATTTGTATGCTATATGTACGTGATGTGTTGTACTGCATTATTTCTATGTGATTTATGCTGTGCATGTTTATAGAGTTGGAACCGAAAGGTTCCCAGAGTTAGAACCTGAGGGTTCACAGAGTTTGGGTGCACGAACCCATAGAGTTATAGCCTCGAGTGGCTAATATGTGTTATGTGTGGTATTTTGGGGAACTCACTAAGCTTCGTGCTTACAGTGTTTTGTGTGATGTTTTTCAGGTTTCTTTCAGTATCACGGGACGGCACCGGCTTGATTGTACACACCAGAGAAAGGGTCATATTTTGGAGGATCCTGGTTTTCTATGCAAGTGAAAATGGAGTCATGTTTTGTAAATCGACTATGAATGAGATTTTAAACGTGTGTTTCTAAGAATAAAATGATTATTTTAAATGAAAAATTTATCTTGAAATTTACGGTGTTACACCTGTCAATCTACTCCTGGTTAGTATGTTTTCCTAGGCGAAAACTTGAACTCCTAGTCCCTCAAATGCCCCCGACTATATCATATTCCAATGTCGAAACATAGTACCATGGAGTTGCGAATGTCGTTGTTGAATCATTTTGCTATACAATCTTTTCCTTGAACTACATACACCAATATATCAATCTATACTTGTGTATTGTGATAATGTACCTGTTATTGTCAGGCAATCATGTGTAACACCAATAAAAGAATCATATCAAAATAGGCATTGATCACTTTGCCTGTAAAAAGGTAGCTATCAGACACATTCGGGGTTTTCACATCCCTTCGACCTTCCAATATGCGAACATATTTACCACGGGTCTTCCATACCAATTCTCCTTGACTTCAGATCCAATTTGAGCACCCATCCTTCTCTTGCTCCAACTCTTGAGATATATTAGTATTTGTATTTATTATCTACGTCTCTTCCTTATTTAAAAGATTTTTGTTTGTAACGTGTGTATATATATATATATATATATATATATATATATATATATATATATATATATATATATATATATATATATTCACATTATCAATGAAAAAGATACAAAGATTTAAGTTCAAAATTTTGAACTCTTAAGAAAAAAAAGATTAGTTTGAAATTTCCAATTTTTTTTAAGAAATATTTTTCAAACATGTTTTTATTATATAAATTTGAAAATTACAAATTTTCAAACTTAAATAGTAATTTATGTTACTTGCGTAAAGGTGAGTGTGATGAATATCCCATATTTTTATAATAGTTAAAAATAAAATTAAGAAAAAAAAAAAAGGAAAAAAACTTCAATGTTCATTTTTAAACCATATTCAAAACAACACTGCACATAGGTCAAATCTATAGACTATAATTTACCCTTCTATCTATCTGTTGATTTCTATTTTAGATATTTGTTTTGTTTTATCTTTGTTTTAAATATTTTTCAGCGGCAGGTGGGGAATCGTTTTTCATAATTGACGTTTGCCTTTGACGATGACCACACCCACTTGATTGGGTTGTACTATTGGGGACGACGACTTCATTTTCCATCCTCACAGATCCAATTTCAATGGCTTCCAGCTCTTCCTCCAGTAGTATGGCTTCTACTAGTCCTCATGGCAGCTATGATGTTTTTCTAAGTTTTAGAGGCGAAGATACTCGTGATTCTTTTACGGATCATCTTTACCATGCATTAAACCGAGCAGGAATTAATACTTTTAGGGATAACGAAGAAATTGACAGAGGGGAAAAACTGAATCCGGAGATCGGGAGAGCAGTTAAAGAATCAAGGGCTTCAATAGTTGTATTGTCACCAAACTATGCCACTTCCACTTGGTGCCTTGATGAGCTATTGTCGATTCTGAAGCAAAGGAAAGAGTCTAATCATTTTGTTCTACCTGTTTTTTATCATGTTGATCCTTCTGATGTGAGAAAACATAATAAAACTTTTGCAATCCAAGTCAAAGCCAATCAAAGGTGGACAGATCACAACGTGGACCAGTGGAAAAGAGCTCTTAGAGAGGTTGCTGATTTGGCCGGCATGGTTCTGTTAGGGTATGTCTCTTCCTGTAAATTAGTCATTATTGAAATATGACTATACAATTAAATTTACTGAAAATATATAAACTCTAACTTGAAACAATTAAAATAAACTAGAAATGTATAAAATCAAAACCAAAATTGCACACGTGACGCTTGAAACTTTGGTGTTAATGAAGAGTATAACACATATTTGGTGTAAGAAATGGTGTTTGGGTTGGAGATGCCTATATCTACGATTCTAGCATATACGACTCAACTATAAGGCTTTTGATAAACATAATTCTGTGTAATCTGTCAAGATTTGTTTTATTTAGATTTAAAATTTGTTTGGAATTAAATTAGAGAAATCTTTATTTACCACTCTAAATGAATTTGAATCTTTTTTGGAAACTTTAATGGTAATCTGATCTAAACATATATTAGTATCACACTACGTTTTCAAAGTTAAGTACTGATCAAAGAATCTCCAAATATCATCCCATTAACTTGTTGATTTTCCTCATGTTGTTCCAGGCCTGAAACAGAGTTTATAAAGGAAATCGTTGACACCATTTACAATAAACTGGATCGAAAAGAAGTTCATCTTCCACTCAATCTAACAGGGTTAGCCACTCGATATGAAGATATCAATTCCTGGTTAAATCGATCCAATGCTGAATTTTTAGCAATTTGTGGCATGGGTGGAAGTGGCAAGACAACATTGGCCAAGTATATTTATGATTCAAATCGGAAGAATTTTGAAAGCATGAGTTTTGTTGAAGACATCAGTCGCAGATGTAAAGAATCCGATGATTTGCTTCAGCTACAAGAACAGCTTCTGAACGATATTTTAGGTGGCAAGAAGAGAAAAATACCTGGTGTTTCTCAAGCTACATGTAAGATTGAGGAGGCCTTACAAACGAAAAAGACGCTTATTGTTCTTGATGATGTTGCTAGACGTAGTGAGTTAATCGCTTTACTTGGAACCGGGAAAATTAATACACAAAGCAAGATTATAATAACAACAACCACAGAAAATACAGATAATTGGTTTAAGTTCCCGTATAGGAGGTGTCAAGTTTATAAAATGAAATTATTAGATGATGATGAATCTTTAGAGCTTTTAAGTCGTCATGCATTTGGTTGTAAAGTTCCCATGGAAGGTTTTGAAGAGCTTGCATTACAAGCAGTAAGATATTGTGAAGGGAATCCTTTAGCTCTTGTAATGTTGGCATCTTCTCTATCCGATGACAATACCATCTTATATTGGAAAAGTCGATTGAATTTTTTGGATAAAGATTTTGATTCTCGGATTCAAAGTGTACTTATAACAAGCTACGAGTCATTGCCATCTATCCTAGAGAAAGAGTTGTTTTTGCACATTGCTTGTTTCTTTGTTGGGAAAGATGAGGATTATGTGGTGAAGATATTGGAGCATGATTATTGTGCATTATCTGGTATTAAAACCCTATACAATAGATGTCTTCTTTCTGTTTCACTGAACAAAAAACTGATGATGCATCGATTGCTTCAAGAGATGGGGAAACACATAGTTCGTCAAGAATCATCAAAATTTCCTACAAAACGTAGTAGAGTTTGGCTTAGTAGCGATTCTTATAAGATATTAAGCAAAGGAGAGGTAATTAGATGTTTCTTATATGTATGTTTAATTTAAGCCTAATTTTACTTTCACACCTTCCTATTTCATTTAACTTCTAAAGTTCATCTTTGTTTTCCTTTTAGGGTTCAGAAACAATGGAAGGTTTAGCAATGGACATGCCAATGCTAAGGGCGGAGAAGATTGCATTCAAGGTAAAACAAACACAAGTAAATATTGAATTTTGAGGTTTTGAGATGTAATTATTAATCTATTTTGCATTCAAGATGATAATATTAGTGACAAATATCATCCGTTAGGTTCAAGCTTACTTACTATCCTTGTTCATGCTAAATTTTCAGTCATCAATCCTCAAGACAGATGCACTTAAAAAGATGGATAAACTAAAACTGCTCCAACTAAATTTTGTGCAACTCACTGGGTCTTACGAGAATTTTTCAGAAGATTTAAGATGGCTGAGCTGGCTTGGATTCCACTTAAGAATCATACCCTCCGAATTATTCATGGGAAACTTGGTGGCCATAGATATGAGCTATAGCAACCTGGAAGTCTTTGAACCTCCCATGGTAGGGAATTTCACATCCTCCTTTTTATCGATTATATATCCATTTAGTTTCTCAAATCTTAATAGTTTTTATGCATACATCATCAATTTTGTTACTTTTGCAACAGGTTCTTCAATCACTACAGATTCTAAACCTTAAAGACTCTCACAATCTATTTGAAATCCGCAATATGTGTATGATCCCTCATCTTGAGACTTTGATTCTTTGGAACTGTTACAGTCTAGTTCATGTTTGTGAAACCATTGGAGACCTAACAAGTCTTACACTACTCAACATGACAGGGTGTGCAAACCTATGCAAGAGGGAGCAAACAAATCTTTTAGTAGGATTAGAAGCTTCTAGTTCATTACAACCTACATTTTCCTTCCCACTTTCATTACACAGGTTATTCCTCCAAGACTGCAATCTTGAATGTACTGATTCTTTTCCTCTGAGTTTCAGTCTTCAAATAAATTTGCAGTACTTGAACTTAGGCAATAGTCTATTTGAGTTTCTGCCTTGTTATGATCATCTTAAAAATCTTCGGGTCCTTGACTTAAGTTTGTGCTCAAGGCTTAAATGGCTTCTATGTCTCCCAAGTACACTTGCAGAATTGTATATATACTACTGTAACTCATTAGAGAAAATAAGTTTCCAATCTCATCAATTTACTTTACAAGAGTTTGGTTATGAAGGGTGTATTAGTTTGTCTGAAATTGAAGGCTTTATCAAACTGGTGCCTCTAGCCAAACTTGAAGAAAATGATTTGGGACACATGAAGTGGCTAAAACAATATCAAAATCATGAGGTGTCCCTTGTTGGTGATGATGAGCTCACTAAAGGCAGAAGCTCGCGTGTCCAGGTTCGTTGTTTCTCTCTCAAACACTTGCATAAAAACACCTACAAAATATTTCTGACTAAATTCTAATGCTTATCTGTTACAGATGTTGTATGAATTTGATATAATGAGCACATCGCTCCCAGACATAAAGGATCCAAACATGACACCAAAGTACGCATCAGAATTATCGTCTTTGTCCTTTGACGTGCCTTCATGTCCTGATAATAGAAAGCTCATAGGACTTGATGTAACATTCAAATATGCAATATCTGGTGATGATTGTGCATGGTTTTGTAAAATTAATACGGATAATGGTGTTGATTTGATGTACAACCCTAAAGTTTTTGGCAAACCCGAATTTGGTAAAGTTGGTATATGGTTAAGCTATTGGCCAATTGGAAACTTATTGGAGACTGGAGATAAAGTTACTGTCTCTATTGCTGTGATGGGTGGATTAGAGGTACACGAATGTGGGGTGAGCCTTGTTTATGATGATGAAACTTTGGAAAACAACATAGAAATTCTTGGAGGAGATTTGTCTGGATTTCAACTAAGCACAGGAGCTTACTATCTTTGTCGACGTGATTTCTTTGAGTTAATGGAGGTTGGTAGAGTGACACCTGGTTGGTTTAGAATTTTAGTTGGCGATACCATTGACTATACAGGTATATAACAGTTAATATATGTCTCCCTTATGAAACTAATTCTAGGGATTTTATGCTGCAAATAGAATAGAGAAAGTTCATCTTATGACATGACACATTGATTGTTGCAGAGGTACGAGGATGGAGAAAGACAGGTCGACCTAAGCAATTGAATCCATCTTTTACAGAATTGAAAACTGTTCGATGCATCATCCATGGTCCTCAATTGGTAACTTTGTTCAGTAAAATTTCTTTTACTTTTGTCATAATACGAGTTCAAATAAGAGACAAGATCAATGAAACTATTATAATCTAGTTTAACCGTTTGTTATAGTTAGGGTTATATTAAGGTTTTGCTAATCTGGCTTTCGTGTTTAATTATGAAAAACAAATAGGAGGAAATTTACAAGATCGCAGAGATGTCAAAATCGTCTTTTGTAGATGAAACTTTGGAGTTCACATCAAGCATGCTTGGGGAGACGATGGAATCTGTCACGTCATCTAAAACTAGTGATAAAGCAATAAAGGTAATTGAATATTATGTTTAGTGGATAAAAGACCGAGTTTAACTTTTCGTTGTTTTGGAAATTACAACTCCCATTAACACACAATTTTACAACCAACAGGCTGAGGACATGTCTGAAGATATCGATGATCAATTTCTGGACCTTGCATCGAGTTCATCTCCACCTTTCTTGGTTCCACGAAAGAAACTTAGAGTAAAGGTGATTCAGTAATCAGTACTATTATGCTTGAAAGATAAAATATGAGGACTTTAATTTTTCATCACATACAAGTATGGCTTTTTCCTCGATTCACAAACACGACATAAGAATGCTGATCAACTTTTTTTATCTTATAACACAAAAAATTACATAAAAAAATGCCAGGTAGATTTGCTTTTTTTTTTTTGGAGAAAATGACGGAAAAGCAGAAACCTTTCACTTTACAACATTTTATCCTCTAAACTTTACTGTTTTTAACGCCTTATATTAAGAAAATAATTTTGCTATTGTGGCTCTTGTGATTTATTCAGGAATTTGGTGTGATTCCTAGTCTACGGAGCTTCATGTCTAAAGCATTTGTTTCTGATGCCGTTAGTGGCCAGATCAAGGTAATTTGACTTTAAAAGCTTATTAGATAAATAAAGAGAGGGATCAAAGTTATATAGGTAAAAAAGGACATCTCATGACGCTTACAAGTAGAATCCCCTTTTTTGCTACTTCTACCCATCAACAACAACCCTCCCAATGAAAATAATAGAGAAAATCCATGGGCCTCCGGATGTTTGTTGAACATTGTATGATGAGTTTGTACACTGTGAATCATCAAGAAAGATTATTCCAAATTTTTTTACCTGTCTTGTATTATTCTTTGATACGTTTCAGAAAATTGTGCTGGGAGTCAACTTATGCAGTGAAAGTCAAAGAGAGAAGGTGATGAAGGCGTTATCTGAGGTTAAGGGCGTGCGAACAATTGATTTTGATACAAATGATGGGAGACTAACTGTTATTGGAGATGTTGATACTATGGATGTTTTTGACCTTGTATGGAATATTGAAGGCGTATATATGATAAGTGTAGAACCTGCAAAATAATCTTAAAAACATGAAACAGGGCCTCTTCCACAAGATACAACGAACTACACGTTGTTGTAAGGAAGAAGTGAATGGAAGTAGCTGCCGATGATTCTGCATACAAATGATTTCGAGGCAGGTGACACTTATGATGGTTGAATTATAACTACCATGTTTCTCCAACAGAAAATAGGAGAGTAACTGTCATTGGAATTGTTGATCCTCTGATAGTGTTAACTTGTGTGAGGAAGATTGAGATGAGAAGCATTGTGTTTACAATTGCATTTCCCCAAAAGTTGGTAGTGTATGTTATCTAATACCACTACAATCATGTTTTCATATAGATAACTTGTCTGAGAATCTATATTCATTATACTTTCATTTAGGGATGTGGGTTTGTACTGAATACCCGAATCGAAACCGAATCCCGGACCGGACTGACCCGAATTAGAAACGAATAAGTTATTTGGGTCAGTTCTCGGGTATCTATTTTTACCTAATTCGGATTTCGGGTTATTCGGTTTGGGTTACCCGAATAAAGGTTTAATCGGGCCAAAAAGACCGACCCGGAAAGTGAATGTCACTTGAACCGAATAACCCAAATAAACTGAAATGGCCCAAATAACCCAAATAAACCGAAATGGCCTGAATAACCCAAATAACGAAATTCTATATTTAGTTCAAGAAAAAAATATTAAATTATTTTTTTTGAACTAAATATAGAATTTCCTTATTTGGGTTATTTGGACCATTTCGGTTTATTTGGGTTATTTGGTTAAAAAACATAGCGCAAATGTTTATTTGGGTTATTTCGGTCCTTTCGGGTTAGTAACCGAACCGAAACTTGTTATACCCGAACCGAACCGGTCCATATTAGTATAATCAGTTTGGGTTTCGGTTCCCACTTTTCATACAATTCGGGTTTTGGGTTATTCGGGCTTGGGTCGGTTCCGGCCCGAAGCACGTCCCTACTTTCATTTGTATATTGTTGGTGAAACAGGTATATTACTATATTAGTTTCAGCTTCATTAATGGGTTATAAAAAGAATGGGCTTTGACCCATCAATAATAAGAAAAGGAGAGAATTCTTTGAAAAGAATTATACTGAATATAGGGATGAGCATATGGACCGGGGAATCGGCCGGAACCGGTACCGGAACCGGAACCCGATGGAACTGGTCGGGCCGGGATTGGAACGTTATTTTTGTGGATTTTTGGAACCGGGAATTGGTAGGAACCATAACCGGTAGAACCGGCAAAAACCGGAACCGTATGATGCTATTTTTCGAAGATCGGTTCCAACATTTGAAGACACGACAAGAATCGGTAGGAACCGGTAACCGGTAGAACCAGAACCAGTAGAACCGACGGGCCGGTTCGGTTATTGGTTTTGGCCGAAGCCGGTTCCCGGTTCCGGTCCGGTTCAGTTCTTTTGCTCATCCTTAACTGAATATTATTAGTCACATATTTTTTCATAGCTTATCATTCTTTTCATCCCTAACTCAATATTATTAGTCACATATTTTTTCATAGCTTATCATTCTTTGAATCTTAGTAGATATAATTATATTTGATTAAATTGGTGGTATGGTTTTAATCCCCTAAAAGATAAATTTAGAAATTATGTACACATAATATATGAATACCTATATGAAAGCGGATGAAACACTAAAATTATTTTGGCGTACCAATGTGTAAACATTGGACCTTCTATCTAAAAATTAAAATATGGATCTCAATCACCAGGTTAAGAGGGGGTATTTGATAGCCTTTTAAAATTTCAATTAAAAGGTAGAATTTTTATTTTTCAAATCCAAAACGTGTGATAGTTTCTTAATTTTTGTCTTTTAACTCAACTTTTAATTTTAAAGAGAATGAGTTGTATTTGAATAAAAAAAAAAATTCTAAAAGTACCCTAATTTTTCTGTACTATTCTCTTTTTATTTCACACAACTGTCACATTTTTTCCTCTCATTGCCCTCTCAAACTTCTTAAAAATTCATATCTTAAAATTTAGATCCTATCAAATATCATCTTAAACTAGTAATATGTCTAGTATTCTTTTTAAATACCTTGATAATAAGATTTTAGAGCCTAAAGTTTATTGACATCCATAGAATTTAAATGTTTTCTCTTGACATTTTATCTTTTATTGTATAAAGATAAGACAAAATTGCAAAAATATCCCTGTGGTATGTAAATTTTTAGGGTTTTAGTCCAAACCATGATTTTTTTGGATTGATGATCCTTTTGGAGTGGTTTGTATGTGAAAATAATCTCTTTAAAAATTGAAATGACTATAATACCCTTTGGGTATTTATTTTTCATTTTTCGTAAAATTTAATATTTATTTATTTTATTTTAACAATTAAAAAAATAATAGAGGACCTCTCTTTCTCTCTCTCTCCCTCTCTCTCTCTCTCTCTCTCTCTCTCTCTCTCTCTCTCTCCCCCTACTCCCAAGAACACCTTCAAAATCTTAAGAACACATCTTCATAATCTCAAGAACACCCAAGAACATATTCATAAACTTAAGAATATCTTCCACAACCACCACCCTTTGACCACCGTTCGTGTAACGACCCATTTTTCACGTCCGAAAATTTCGTTTTAAAACATTACTTTAGAAAACATTAATAAATAAAAACATTGTTTGATCACACCATAACACAACGTAAACCATGTTTAAAAGCCAAACCATACAACCCATCAAAATATCAGAGTACAAATCCCAGTGAATCTCGTGAATGCGGAAACCAGAGTGTGTGCATGACGTGCCGCTACCGCGCCAGCTCCTTCCCCTTCGGTGAAGAGGTACCTGAAAACAAAACTGTAAAACGTAAGCACAAAGCTTAGTGAGTTCCCCCAACGTACCACATACCATGCAAACACATAACATGCATACTGCCAGGCTATTCTGGGGTGCCTGACTACCAGGTACGACCATTCTGGGGTGCCGACCTACCCATACGACCATTCTGGGGTGCCGTCCTACCCGTGTCAAGCCATTCTGGGGTGCTGACTACCCATGTCAAGCCATTCTGGGGTGCTAACTACCCATCGGTCCTAACAACCGATCCTCGGGGACTGGTCCCCTCCTACTACCTCTATCGCATAACATAACAGGCCAACATACAAACATATCATCACATACTGTCAGACATTTCTAGGGTGTCTGACTACCCTGCGGTCCTAACAATCGAACTCTACTATTATCGCATATAACGTATCATGCTAGCATATAACATATCAGGTAATAGCAAACCCAAATGATATCACAAAGACAATCATCTATCATACGTCTCCTACTGGTGGGCTGACATTGTGGCCTTAGACCCACCACTACTGGAAGGTAACTCACCTCAAAGTAGCTGCTGAATTGATCGGGAACTAACTGACTACTGCTGCTGCTCCGGAAATCCTCCGGCTGCAATTCCCACAACATACTCAATCAAACACTACTAACTGTCCTTTGGGTAAAATGACCATTTTACCCCTGGTCTAGCCCTAAGTCAAAGTCAGAGTCAACTTTCAGTTGACCCGACTCGCCGAGTTGGCTCTCCAACTCGCCGAGTCCCTATCCAGACGATTGTCTTTGAGTCCCTGTTTCTACTCGTCGAGTTAGGCTATGACTCGATGAGTTCTTCTTCTAAACTGACATTCAAGCCCTTCATCCTACTCGCCGAGTTGTATGAACAACTCGTCGAGTTCATCTTCATCCGAAGAACACTTATGCTAAGACTCGCTGAGTTGTATGAACAACTCGCCGAGTCTGTTCTTGATCTATGACGATTGCCTTGGACTCGCCGAGTCCTTCCATGGGTGAGTTCAGCTTCCAACTCACCGAGTCACCCCCTGTGGCTCACGAATCAAACTCGATACAACATAAAGGGACCAAGTTCGGTGACTCGCGAGCAGACTCGCCGAGTCACATAAACGACTCGCCGAGTCGTTGCCTTGCATCCATTAAATACACTGATTTGTTCGATTCCAGTCCATGCCATTCACAGATCTGGGCTTCTAGGGCACGAATCACACGTAAAGTTTCCAACTTTACGTGTAGATATTTACCAATATGGATTTTAGGGCTCAAAGTGCACCAAAAGAGGTAGATCTAGGGCTTTCATGCAATATGACCCCATAAAGGCATTAGATCCAAGCTCCAGGGACTAAATCATGCCTAGATCTAAAGGCTAACAACTTATTACAACCCACAAAGCACAAACAAGCTTAGGGAAAAGCTCAAGAAGGACTTCCATGAAGCTAAAAGAGACTACAAGCTTGAAAACAGAGGGGAAACGAGCTATACCTCAAGGAAAACGTTGAGATGACACAAAGATGCCTGACCTCCTTCTCCTCTTCTTGATCTACTCTTCTTTCTCCTCAAAATCTTCAAGAACACACCAAAACACTTCAATCTCTCAAGGAAATAAGGATATAAACGATGTTGGGAGCTCTGAGGGTGATTGGGGGCGAGTTTGGGGCGGAAATGAGGGTTTAAATAGGGTGCAAACCCTTGAAATTTAGGGTTTCATCCAGCAGCGGTGACTCGCCGAGTCCAGGATATGGACTCGCCGAGTTGCCAACTTAAATGTGTCCTGAGTCTTGTCCCTACTCGGCGAGTTGGACCTATGACTCGCCGAGTCCAAGGCTAAAATGGGAAATACTCAAATAAGATTTACATACCAGGAACCAGGTGCTACAAATCTCCCCCACTTATTTTAGACTTCATCCTCGAAGTCTGCTGCTCGATCCTGAAACAGCTCGGGGTAATGCTCCATCATCTCGTCCATCGGCTCCCAAGTCCATTCCGAACCCTTGCGGTGCTGCGTTTGCACCTTCACTAGTTCTACCCTCTTGTTCCTCAAGTCCTTCGACTTCCTGTCGAGTATTGCGACTGGGCGCTCAATGTAGTTCAAGCTTTCATCAACCTGAATGTCCTCCAACGGTACTACCGCTGAATCGTCCGCTAGGCACTTCCGCAGCTAAGAAACATGGAAAGTGTTGTGGATCTGACTGAGCTCGGCTGGCAGATCCAGCCTATACGCCACCTTGCCCACCCGGGCTACAACCCTGAACGACCCGATGAATCTTGGGCCCAACTTGCCCCGCTTCCTGAATCGAATGACGCCTTTCCAAGGCGACACTTTCAGGAGAACCATATCCCCGACTTGGAACTCCAAGTCGGATCGACGCTTGTCGGCGTAACTTTTCTGCCGACTCTGAGCAGTCTGAAGTCTGCTCCGAACCTGCTGGATCCTCTCGGTCGTCTCTAGCACCACCTCGGTGCTTCCCATGACTCTCTGGCCAACTTCACCCCAGCATATCGGGGTTCTGCACCTCCGCCCGTACAACATCTCGAATGGTGGTCGGTCAATACTCGCGTGGTAGCTGTTGTTGTATGAGAACTCAGCCAAGGGAAGATAGGTATCCCAGCTACCACCGAAATCTAACACACACGCCCGCAACATGTCCTCTAAAGTCTGGATGGTCCGCTCACTCTGACCATCTGTCTGCGGGTGAAAGGCGGTGCTAAAATGCAATCGAGTGCCCAACTCGTCATGAAACTTCTTCCAAAATCTGGAAGTGAAACATACATCCCTATCCGAGATCACCGAT